AAGTAAGCTCCATGAGATCCAAGAGAAAGTTGAAAATGAACACAAAGAAACAAACAAAAAAAATGATTGAGGACATAAATGAAAAATTCACTAAAGAGATAGATTTAAAAACACACACACACACACAACTTCTGGAAATGAAAGACTCACTGATAGAATTGCAAAATGCACTAGGAAGCTCAAATAATAGACTATACCAAGCCAAATAAATAGTTTCAGAGCTTGAAGACAGACCTTTTGAATTAACCCAGCCAGACAAAGGTAAAGAAAAAGGAATTTAGTGAATTTAGTGACTGGGCATGGTAGCTCACACCTGTAATCTTAGCAATTTGGGAGGCTGAAGTGGGAGAATCGCTTGATGCCAGTAGTTTGAGACCAGCCTGCGCAATACAGTGAGACTATATCTCTACAAAAAATAGAAAAAGCAGGCAGGCATGGTGGTGCATGCCTGTAGTCCCAGCTACTCATGAGGCTGAGGGAAAAGGATCACTTGAGACAGGAGTTTGAGTTGCAGTAAGCTATGATGACATCACTGCACTCTAGCTTGAGCAACAGAGTGAGACTCTCTCTAAAAAAACATCTTAAAAAGAATTTTAGAAAATGAACACAGTCCCAAGATTTATGGGACTATGTAAAATGTCCAAACCTACCAGTTAGGTATTCCTGAGAGAAGAAGAAAAAGTAAAAAATGTAGAAAACCTATTTGAGGGAATAATTAAGGACAACTTCGCTGGTCTTGTAAGGAGACATTCAAATAGAAGAGACTCAGTGAACACTGGGGAGATACATTGCAAAAAGTCCTTTGCCAAGTATATAGTTGTAAGGCTCTCTAAAGTCAATGTGAAGGGGAAAATTTAAAAGCAACAAGATATAAAAATTTCTAATTACCTATAAAGGAGAGCCCATCAGACTAACAACAGACTTCTCATCAGAAACCTTACAAGCCAGGAGAGACTTGGGGCTTATTTTCAATATCCACAAAGGAAAAAGCCATGAACTGTGAATTTTGTATCCTGCTTAAACTTAGCTTCATAAATGAAGGAGAAATAAAGTCTTTCTCAGTTGAGAAAATGCTAAGGGAATCTGTCACCAGCCCCATAAGACCAGCCTCACAAGAAAGGCTCAAGGGAGTTCTAAACAAGCAAATAAAAGGTTGATATTCACCATCATAAAAGTATATGAACCATAAAACTCACAAGTTTTTTTCAAGAAAATATGAGAGTACAAACATTTTGACTGCTTTTTATATCATTGACTCTCCCTAGCAAGGGTTAGAGGTATGCCCTTCCCCTCTACACTGTTTACCACATCCCTCAGATGTGGGTCTACCCCCTCCCCAATCCCTGAATCCCTGGTGAACATCACCACCATTTGAGCACCATAGTAATCATCAGTCAGTACCAATTTGATGGCGAGTACATGTGGAGCCCATTCTTCTGATCTTGTCATCTCACTTCGGATAATGGGCTCAAGCTCAATCCAGGATAATACAAGCAGGGCTAGCTCACTGTCGTTTCTTATAACTGAGTAATATTCCATTATAAACATATACTGAACATTAATAATCCACTCATGAATTGACGGGCACTTGGGTTGTTTCCACGTCCTTGCAATATTGAATTGTGCTGCCATAAACATTCAGGTGCAGATGTCTTTATTACAGAATGTCTTATGCTCTTTTGGGTAGATGCCTAATAATGCTATTGCTGGGTCGAATGGTATTTCTACTTTTAGCTGTTTGAGGTATCTCCAAATTCTTTTCCACAAAAGTTACACTAATTTGCAGTCCCACCAGCAGTGTAAGAGTGTTCCTGTCTCTCCACATCCTCGCCAGCATTTATTGTTTTGGGATTTCTTGATACAGGCCAGTCTCACTGGGGTTAGGTTTTGATTTGCATTTCTCTAATGATTAGAGATGTTCAGCATTTTTATGTGAAATTTTTTTTTATATTCTTCTTCTCCTTGAAGAATTCTTCAAGAATTCTTTGCCTAAAAGAATTTATGAAGAAGACCCCAAAGGCAATCACAGCAGCAACAAAAATAAATAAATGGGACCTGATCAAATTAAAAAGCTTCCGCACAACCAAAGAAACTGTCAAGTAGCAAACAACCCACAGAATGGGAGAAAATTTTCACAAGCTATGCATCCGATAGAAGGCTGATAACTACAATTTATTTATTTAATCATCAGGGAAATGCAAATCAAAACTGCAATGAGATATCACCTATCTCCAGTAAGAATGGCCTTTATCAAAAAGTCCCCAAACAATAAATGTTGGCATGGATGGGGAGAAATAGGAACATTCCTAAACTGCTGGTGGGACTGCAAACTAGTTCAACTTCTGTGGAAAGCAATATGGAGATACCTTAAAGTGATACAAATAGATCTACCATTTGATACAGCAATTCCACTACTGGGCATCTACCCAAAAGATCAAAAGTCACTTTATGAAAAATACACCTGCAATAGAATGTTTATAGCAGCACAATTCACAAATGCAAAGATGTGCAAACAACCCAAGTGCCCATCAATACATGAGTGGATTAATAAAATGTGGTATATGTATACCATGGAGTACTATTCAGCTTTGAGAAACAATGGTGATCTAGCACCTCTTGTATTTTCTGGATACAGCTGGAACCCATTCTACTAAGTGAAGTATCTCAAGAATGGAAAAACAAGCACCAGATGTACTCACCAGCAAATTGGTATTAACGGATCAACACCTAAGTGGACATATAGGAATAACATTTATCAGGTGTCAGGTAGGTGGGAGGGGGGAGGAGGGGATGGGTATATACAAACACAATGAGTGAGATGTGCAACGTTTAGGGGATGGTCATGCTTGAAGCTCTGACTCGAGGGGTATGGGGGCATGGGCAATATACATAACCTTAACATTTGTACCCCCATAATATGTTGAAATAAAAAAAGAAAAAGAATTCTTTGCCTAGGCCAATGTCTGAAGGACTTTCCCAACATCTTCTTCTAGGATTCTTATGGTTTCATGCCTTAGGTTTAAGCCTGTTATCCATTCTTGAGTGGATTTTTGTGAGGGGTGAGAGGTAGGGATCCTGATTCATTCTTCTGCATGTAGTTATCCAGATTTCCCAGCACCATTTATTGAAGAGAGATTCTTGAAGAAGACCCCCAAAGCAATCACTGCAGCAACAAAAATAAACAAATGGGATCTGATCAAATTAAAAAGCTTCTGCTCAGCCAAGGAAACTCTCATTAGGGCAAATAGACAACCTACAGAATGGGAGAAAATATTTGCTCTCTACACTTCCGATAGAGGTCTGATAACAAGAATCTATCTAGAACTCAAAAGAATTAACAAGAAAAAAATCAAACAACCCCATGAAAAAGTAGGCAAAGGACATGAACAGAAACTTTTCAAAAGAAGACATAATAATGGCCAACAAATATATGAAAAAATGCTCAACATCTCTAATCATCAGAAGAATGCATATCAAAACCATAACGAGATATCACTTATCTCCAGTGAGAAGGGCCTTTATTAATAAGTCCTAAAACAATCAATGTTGGCATGGATGCGGAGAGATAGGAACACTCCTACATTGCGGTGGGACTGCAAACTAATTCAACCTCTGTGGAAAGCAATATGGAGATACCTTAAAGTGATACAAGTAGATCTACCATTTGATCCAGTAATCCCATTACTGGGCATCTACCTAAAATAACAAAAGTCACTCTGTGAAAAAGACACCTGCAATCGAATGTTTATAGCAGCACAATTCACAATTGCAAAGTTGTGGAAACAACCCAAGTGCCCATCAATCCATGAGTGGATTAATAAAATGTGGTATATGTATGCCATGGAGTACTATTTAGCTCTAAGAAACAATGGTGACATAGCACCTTTTGTATTTTCCTGGATAGAGCTGGAACCCATTCTACTAAATGAAGTATCCCAAGAATAGAAAAATAAGCACCACGTGTACCCACCTGCAAATTGGTATTAACTGATCAACACCTAAGTGGACATATAGGAATAACATTTATCGGGTGTTAGGCAGGTTAGGGGCACGGGATGGGCATATACCTACATAATGAGTGTGATGCGTACTAACTGGGGGATGGAGACGCTTGAAGCTCTGACGTGAGGGGGGAAGGGGTAAGGGCAACATACATAACCTTAACATTTGTACCCCCATAATATACTGAAAAAATAAAAAATAAAATAAAAATTCACTACAAAAAAAACAAATAAAATATATTTCAACACTGATAATACTAAGAATCATTCTAATTGTGGGTTTTAAAAAAGAATCCTTATCTTTCGAAGAATAAGTGTAGAATGAATTTTTTAAAAATCCACTTGATTATCTTAATAAAATAGATGCAGAAAACATTTGAAAAAAATCTAACACCCTTTCATAATAAACTAGTGTTGGGGCTTGGGGAATGATACCCCAAAGTAAGGGCCTCACTTTGAAGCAGCCTCATAAGCAAAGTTTCTCTACTAACTTCTGTCCTCCTGCCTCTCAAAACTAACTCTTCCCCAAGACAAGCCACAGAAACCAAAATTCCTCCTTTTCAAGGTGGGTCACAGTAACCAGAACTCTTTTTACCCAGAGCCAGCCATAAAAATTAAAAATAATTGTTCACCTTCCCCCACCTTTCTGTATAAGAGATGACCATAAAGAAATTCTCTGACCTGTCTTATTTGATAGCAGGTCACAGGGTCCTCATTCCAGAAAGGGCCCTGCTCCACACCTGGGAGGAAAGTGCTACAGGAAGAGGCCAAGAAGTGTCTGTACAGACAGGCCCTGCTGGGTCTGCCCACCTCAGTCTACTGACCCTTTTGGGTGCAGTCATGTTTCCGTATAGCTGTTCATTCTTCACAGAACCTAAGCATGAAAATGGGCAGTGTTCCTTGTATCTCTGGGTCTTCATTCTGAAGGCTCCCTGTCAGGTAAAGTGATGATTAAATAAATCTGTTATGCTTTTCTCCTGTTAACCTGTCTTGTTACAGGAGTGTCAGCTGTGACCCCTACACTAAGAAGAGAGGATTCTTCCTCAAGCTAACAAAGGGCATCTGGAAACGTAAAGCTAGAAGCATGCTTAAAGGTAAAGACTGAACGCTTTCCCCCAGATCAGGAACAATACCTGGATGCCCATCTCGCCCCTCTATTCAATATGGTGCTGGAGGCTCTACCCAGGGCAACTGGCCAAGAAAAAAAATGAATGGCACCCATATTGGAAAGGAAGAAGTAAAAATTTTTCTCTTCAGTGATGACATTATATTATACACAGAAGACTCTAAAGAATACAGACACAATAAAACCTGTTAACGCTAATAAATGAGTTCAGCAGGGTTGCAGGATATAAGATCAATATGCTAAAACAGTTGTATTTTTATACTCTTTCAATGAACAATTTGAAAATAAATTAAGAAAAACAATCCCATTTACAATAGCTTAATGCTATTCTAAAATACTCAGAAACAAATCTAACAAAAGAAATGCCAAGACTTGCTCACTGAAAACGTTGGTGAAAGAAATGTATTCCTGATAGCTTTTGTGCATTATTCCTAATAGTTAAAAAGTAAGCACCACCTCGACGCCCCTGGTCCCGTCCCGGGTGTCAGGAGCGAGCGCTGTGGGGTGGCGCCGGAGGCGGCGGCCACATGCGCACGGGCTCCCGCCCACGCGGCTTTCGAGGCCGTGAGAAGGCGCGTCTGGGCGGGCAGGCGGCCGCTCCCGCGCAGAAGACCAGAGTCTCGCACAGCCCTTGACGCGCGCTGCCCGGTGCCGCCCCTGCCCTGGGCGGGGTCAGTGCGCGCTCCGCCCCTGGGCGTGGGCGGGGTCAGTGCGCGCTCCGCCCCTGGGTGTGGGCGGGGTCAGTGCGCGCTCCGCCCCTGGGCGTGGGCGGGGTCAGTGCGCGCTCCGCCCCTGGGGCGGGTCAGTGCGCGCTCCGCCCCTGGGCGCGGGGCAGGCGGGCTCGCGGGGCAGGCGGGCTCGCGGGGCAGCGCTCGCGCGGCACGGCCGGGTGCGGCAGGCGGCTCGCGGGCCAGGCGGCTCGCGGGGACAGGCGGCCCCAGGCCCTGCACGGAGACTGCGCGGCGGCTGGAGAGCCGAGACGCCCACGACGGCCGGTGTCCGGCGGGTGCGGTGGCCGAGCCCCATGCTGCCCTCCGTGCGAGGAAGAGGAGGCGCGTGCGGCCAGTATCCAGGCGAGCCGCGTCTTTCTCCGGCCCCGTCGGTCCTGCTTCGCCAGCGCCCTCTCGGCCTGCTGCCCCGCTCCGCCGAACGTGCGTGCCAGCCGGCTGGTGGCAGACGAGCAAACGGGACACGCACGGCGCAGTGTTCTTCGGCCTGAAACAGGAGAGACGCGGGACGCCCGCGTGCGAGCCGGGGTCCGCAACGCTGGCGGGAAGGCCGGGGTCGCACTGGGCGGGGAGGCCCGGGGGGCGCACGCTGGGCGGGGGAAGGCGGGGGGCCGCACGCTGGGGGGGAGGGGGGGCGCACGCTGCGGGGACGGCGGGGGCGCACGCTGGGAGCCGGGCATGCAAGGGGAGCGGGGGGCCGCACAGCTGGGCGGGACGGCCGCACGCTGGCGAGGGGGCGCACGCTGGCGGGGGAGGCAGGGCCGCACCTGGCGGGGGAGGCGGGGGGCCGCACGGTGGGCTGGGCCGAGCTGGCGGGGAGGCCCGGGCCGCAGCTGGCGGGGGAGCGGCCGCACGCTGAGGGGGTCGCATGCGGCGGGGCCGCACGCTGGCGGGAGCGGGGGGGGCCGCACCTGGCGGGGAGGCGGGGGAGGGGAGGGGGCCACGCTGGCGGGGAGGGGCCAACGCTGGCGGGGAGGCGGGGGCCGCACGCTTGGCGGGAGGCGGGGGGGGGCGCACGCTGGGCGGGGGAGGCGCGGGCCGAGGCCGGCGCGGGTGCGGACGAGGCCAGTGAGCGGCTGCGCAGGGCGGGAGGGCGAGGAGACCGCGGTAAGGGCCAGGGCTTCCTTCCAGGCTGATGTGACTGTTTTAAATGGATTGTGACGATGGTTTCGCGACGCGTGCAACTTCCGCTTCAAATGGGCGAATTAATATGGCACGTGAATTCCATCTTCATGAGGCTGTTACCGAGAATACACACCTGTAAGGACATGGAAACTAGGAGAGTCCGAGGAGCCCGAGGAACCTGATGGCGTGTACACTGTGGCATCCTGGACGGGTCCGGGAGCGGAGAAAGAACGCTAGGCAGAAAGAAAGGATGTATTTAATACAGGATGTATTTACTAATAATATACTGATATTGGTCCATTAGTTACAACGAATGTACTGTGCCATTGTAGGAGGTTAACAACAGGAGAAACTGCCTATGGGTTGTATGGGAATTTTGTCCTATATTTCAATTTTTCTTTAAAACTGTTCTGAAATTGTAAAAAAAGACATCTTTACAATTCTGAGAGGGGCGATTAAGATGTCCACTTGAATTATATTGTTATCAATTCTCCCTTGCTTTACATATTTAGTTGCTACTGTTTCAGGTACACACAGACTTGACTTATGTTCTTCATAAATACTAGCTCTTTTCATTATCTTTTTATCCTATTTAGTGCTTTTACCCCTAAATCTCACATTAATTTTGACAGGGCCATTTTAGTGGATCCGTGGCGCACGTGGTCCCCACATGAGCACGGGGGAGGGATCTTCGACGTACTTGTGTTATCACCTCCACTCCCTCAATTTCGTAGTCACCACCACTTTAAGACTTCCGGGACTTACTGGCTTCCCTTGTGTCCCCACCGCCCAGTCCATCAGCTGCCAAGTGCTTACTAGAGTCTCTCCCACACCACTTCTGTTTCCAGATGTTTGTCTTTGTTCTGTCTTGCTTCACAGTGCCGATTATCCACACTCATCCATAGATACTTTGTGATTCACCTCGTTTCTCTGGTTTTCTCCAACTTGAGTTCCCTACTCTGGGGCGAGGGGCTTAGTCATGTCAATGGAAAAGCCAAAACTCTGTAAATAATTTAAAGAAGTTCATTCCGGGCTGAATATTGTGACCACAGCCCAGAGGACGTGGTCTCCCTTGAGAGAATGCGCCTGAGGCGCCGGGTCACAGCTTGGTTTATGCATTTATGGAGACAGGAATCACAGGTAAAACCGTAAACCAGTACATGGAAGGCATACATTGGTTTATCCCCGAAAGGTGGGACATCTCAAAGTAAAGGCTTACAAGACACAGGTGTGTTTTAGGGATTCTTTAGATGGCAGCTGGCTGAAGAGGTAAGCTTTGAAGATCTGGAGTCAGTAGAAAGGAATGCTTGATTAAGGTAGGGGCTCTGCTAGCTGTCACGGGGTGCTATATCAGAATCAGGTTGGAAAGTACGCCACCTTATACAGAGTTAATAAAAACCCATTTAATGAGATTTTATTATTTGTAAGGCATGACTCACCAGGCCTCTTAGAAAGGAATTTGGGTGATAGAAAAAAAAGTTAAAGTTCAGCCCTTAGTAATTTTTTTAGTATTTTCTTCAGATGGAGCAGTGAGTGATATATTCCAACTTCTGCATAAAAAGAAATATTTTTAGATCCATTCTTAAAGCATTCACTATTCAGAATTCAAAGGGATCCTGACATTTCTGAACGATTTAAGAAGGTCTTAATGAAGAGAGAGTGCTTCTAACTGTCTCTTTGCCCCCTGATTTCTGCGGAATGGCAAGAAGACCTGTTTCCTGGTTGAGAGAGAGAGATGTTTCCTCTTCTATCAGAGGCTCCCAGAAATCTGGAGGAGTGAAGACAGAAGTTGAAAGTTGTTGGAGTTTACCTTCTTAGGGCAGCCAGAAAGTGTTTAATGCAAATGCTAGTGCAATCAACATAACTGAAGGGCAGTTTGGAACATTGGAAAGGGTGTTTTTAAGGTAAATAGAGCAGAGAGTCTCCTGGCCAGCCCAGGTGGTAAAAGGTAGGCATTTCCTTTTTCACTCTCATCTGAGTCCTCACCAAGCAAAGTGTGGTTTTCCAAATAGCCTTCCTTATGGATAAATGCTGGGCCTCAATAACAATGAATTGTTGTTCTGGTACCACTCATTTATTTTCATGCATTGTTCCAAAGGCCTGATTCCACAGTAAAGGGAGGAACGAAGGGGTGACAGGAGCCCAGAAGTTTCCTTGTCTGTCTCCATGTGAATACACTAGGCTTTTGTACAAATCAAACCTAACCTGGGATTATTTAGAAGAATGTACCACCTTTAGTTTTCCAGAAAGAATGGCCAGTACCTAGATTTAATAGATCCAGAGAAAGATGATAACCTTTAGGACCCCTGCCAAACTTAACTGAAGATTTTACTCCCAGACAAGTGGGGTGAGTTACTTTGCTATTTCCTTCATACATACGATGTGCATTCTCTCAGCCTTTTAAGGCAACATTCTAGGACCACTTGTCAGGGTCCCAAGGACTCATTGTAATTTTTAGTATTAAATGTAATCCCATTTTCTAAGATGTCAAGGAAGAGCCCTAGAGTATGTTTTTAAGTATAAGGCAGTGTTAGCATTCAGCACTGAGGCGTTACGAAACATCTTGGCCAAAGTCAGAGAGTTGAGTCCTAGGACCAGGTGGGGCGTTCTATAAGGCACTTCAGTTCCTCTTATCCTCAAATCCGCTCTCATGTTATCAATTGAATAGACAACACCTGTGCCACTGTTCGCACTTGCACTCTCTGCTGGGAAGTGTGTGACTTGAGCTCTAGCACATCATAGGTGTCTCATTAGGATGATCATTTAAAGTACAAAGAAAGGGCACACTCCAGGATGCCGCATGTTAAACATGTGATCTCTTCTCTTTAAAACAATCAGATCTAAATGTTTTTACAGATAATCCCATGTCTCATCATATGGGAGTAAATGCACACTCTTATGAATCATTCTTCCTCAATGACTTGGCTTATGAACATTCCCTCTATTTTTCCATTTCCACATTTAACCCAGTTTCCTCACCTTTTGAAATTCAGCTGGGGCATCTCTGCAGCTTGGCTCTGTTCTCCTGACGGCAAATCCAGAAATGATGCTTACAGGTTATTTACTTGATGCCACCCGCGACACAGAAGTTGGCTGTGAGGAGCTGACATCTGTATATAGTTGCCAAGCTTTGTATAGTCTTTGAGAGAGGGAAGAAGCCAGTGGAGCCAGTCACTGCTGCCCTGGCTTCATCTTCAGGTATTATTATTATTATTGAGAAATAGTTTCTGATTGGACAGACTCTCTTCCTTCAAAGGGCGAAGATGCCTCATGAGTGAAGGAGTCGGAGAACGTGTCTGTGCCCTGCCTCCGTGACGGGCTGGGTCATTCCAAAGTCCCAGAGCCTCAGTGAAAGAGTTCGCCTTTTATGCCTATGTGGGTCTGTTTTGTGTTGCTGTAAAGGCACTTCATGAAGAAAAGGCGATATTTGGCTCACAGTTCTACAGACTGTACACGCATGGTGCCAGCATCTGCTTCTGGGGAGAGCTACAGGGGGCTTCCAGCCAACGTGGACGACAGAGGAGGAGCAGGTGCATCACATGGTAAGAGAGGGGACAAGGAGGGAGGAGGAGGTGCCAGGATTTTTTAAACAACCAGCTCTCACATGAGCTAATGAAACAAGAACTCACTCATTGTTATGGGGAGGTCACCAAACCAATCCTGAGGGATCTGCCACAATGACAAAACACCTCCCACCACGCCCCACGTCCAACAATGGGGATCAAGTTTCAACACGAGAGTCGCCAGGCCAAACATCTAACCATGTCAGTATGTTTCCTTAGCATGAAGAAGCCCGTGGGGTCATCCTCCACCTCTCCTAAGCAGGAGGTAACAGTGGTGCCCCAAGAGCACAAGCCGCTCTACCAGGTTGAGACATAACCTTGATACAGTTCAGATATTTGTCCCCTCTAATTCTCAGGTTGAAATTTGATCTCCAGTGTTGGCAGTGAGGCCTCTGGGGATGTTTGGTCCTGGGGGCGGATCCCTCACGAATGTCCTGGGGAGACACCAGGATGGGGGCGTTCTCACTGTATCAGCTCACACAGGAGCTGGCTGCTCAGAAGAGCCTGGCACCACCTCCTCCCCCCTTGCTCCTGTCTCGCCACGTGACACCCATGCTCCCCTTCACCTTGTGCCTCAATTGGGAGCTCCCGAAACCCTCCCCAGAAGCAGAGGCTGGTGCTCTGCTCGTACAGTCTGCAGAACCGTGAGCCGCATAAACCTCTCCTCTTTAGAGAGTACCCATCCCAGGTGTTCCTTTACAGCCACGCGACCTGGACCGAGACAAGTCCCCTCCTCAGGAGTATGGATTGGGACTGTGCGGGAAGATCCCTGCATGCCGCCTGGTCCCGCTGACAGCCGTGCCGTCCGCCACGTGGGCGAGAGAGCAGAGGAGGCAAGGACAGAGCGAGGAAGATGTGCAGAGGGAACTGAGCTGAAGGCAGACCAAGGGGCCTCCTTGCTGGCATCCGTGGCCCTGGCTCCATTCTCTTCTGCAACCCCAGCTGAGCCATGGCTCTGTGAGCCACCCCATATGCTTCCAGCCTCAGCAGCGCTCCCTCACTTACTTTTCCCTGAAAACGGCTCGGGGCAGCTTCTGATACGAAGAATAGGGTCCTCGCTAATACACGCGTCTACCTGTTAAAGAAGGATCATTCTTTCTCCTCGCTTTCCCATGAATTGCTTGGTTTCAGCCTGCATGATTTTTGCTGACGACACACATGTCCTCTTGTGTGCTATATGTAGGTCTGCCAGTCGGTATGAAAAAATAAAGGATATATTTATCCTGTGCATGAACAAATGCAGGGGACAGCACCTCAGGGCCTCCGTGGTGAGTCAGCTGCAGCCCCTCATGTGGCGCGGTCGCTCTCTAGCACTGCTGAGTGTGAGTGTGGAATGCAGAGCTGGGTTGTAGAGTCTTTCTTTTTTTAATGAGATAACAGAAATAGAAATTTTTATGAGAAACCTCTTGATTTTGAATTGTTGACTCAAACTGTGTTTATATATGCAGCAGAACCCCTCTCCCCCCTGTCAAAAATGTCTGTGGGCTGCTTGAGACCTCTACCGTAGCTCCTTGTTATTCATAGTATGGTCTGAGGATAAACAAGGTCAGCGTCACTCAGAAAGTTGCTAAAAGTGTAGAATCTCAGGCACCCTCCCAGACCTGATGAATCAGAATCTGCATTTTAACAATGTCCCTGGGTCATTTGTCTTCACTTTAAAGGCTGAGAAGTCTTGGCTTAGTTCATTTGTCCATAAATTTGGCTGCATATTGAAATTACATGAGAAACCTTTAAAAAAACTACTGATATCTGGGACCTACTCCCAGAGATTCAGTTTTAATTAGTCTGGAATGTAGCCTGGGCTTTTTTTTAAGAGCTCCTCAGGTAATTTTAACATACAGCTAAGCCAGGATCCACCACTTCCTATTGCCTGCCCGATACTACACCCCACCAGTCCCCTCAGACCGCATCTGCCTTGGCCCCTGAACTGGCAGCTCATGGTCTGGAGTGTCAAGACTGTCACAGGAGTGCAGGCTGCAGGTCCACAAATATCGCCAAGAGACATATTGGCGGGAGGGTGGGGAAGCCTGTTTCAACGTTGAAAAAAAATGTGATGTCCTAATTAGAAAACAGGACTTTCTCAAATGCCACAAAAGAAATAGAGTATAGACATCTTAAAAAATAAAATTACAGCCCAAAGTACTCAATTACACAGTACAAGGATTCTGAGCACACAGGGATAACCAAGACCTACATCTTAAATGATCTCAGGCATCTGAAATCCCAGTCCTTTGAAAATGTGGCCAAATGAGAAGGGAGAGAGTAACAATAGCAAAATCACCAAGGTTGAACCCTGAGAGAAAGGACAACTAAAATTAGAGTGCAGAAAAAACATCTTCTTTTAAATTCTGACACCTAATCTTGTCACCCTGATCATAGCTTCTACATTCCAGCAGCTAAAACAAGCTTTTGTTTGTATCTGCGTGAATGTATGAAATTCTCCCAGTATGATAAACTACAAATAAAAAACCAAGCCTACAATTCTTCATCCTCCCATATCCGTGCCCTGTGCAATGTGATCACAGCTCCTACCCTCAAAAGGGAAACCATTACCCCATCCTTGGAATGTGGGCTGCCTGGTGGCTCCTTTAGCCAATAGATGGACAGAAGTGATGTGCCAATGTGAGCATAAACTGCAAGACACCTTGCACGCTGCTTCTCTTGGACTACAGCAATGTGAGCAAGTTGGATTAGCTGAACTTGGAGAAGACCTAATGGCTTCCTAGACCACCTGACAGCCAGCAGACTCCCAACATTTGAGAAAGACTCA